CCGGGGCCATGTCATAGTCAGAGGTGGCATCAAGATTTGCCGATGGGGGGGGGGGGGCAATAATATTGTATTTTTTTGAATAACTTCTGAACGAAAGATGTGTATAAGAGACAGTATGTATACAGTATGTATGTGTATATATGAATGTATATATAAGTATATATATATATTAATAATAATAATAATAATAATAATTGAATATGAAATAATGTTTTGCTCACACTATGATGATATTACTTTCATGAAATTTAAATAATATTTTTAATTTAATATATTCAAAATCTCATAATTTAATTAATTAAATTTTTTTAAAGGATTTCTTATTGTATACCGTGGTACAGTATGTGTTTATTTAAATTAAAAGTGATGAAAAAATTGTGGGTTACCCCCACAAAAGATAAACAAAAAAAGTGGTGACATGGTCAGATAATTATGGTCTTAAAAAAGTCAATTAAGATCAATATTGTATGACATCTTAATAATACATCTTCTCGGATTTTTATTAAATAACAGTGGCAAGATTCTATGAAATACCTATATATGTATATAAGTATACAGACTATGTTATATATAAATTAAAATACTTTGCTGTGTAGTAGTATATAAATACAATACTAGTTAAAAGATAGAATAATAATAATGTTGTAATATATAAATATGTATCTCGACCACAGGTTTCTGCGTTTGAGTTGGTAAGACCTTCACACGTTAAGAAAAAGGTGCTGAGTTCGAGTAGTGGTGGAGGCAAGGTTTCCTTTTCATTCTGATCAGATTTTCCTCTTCTGTTGCATTTAAATTGTACATTATTATTTACAAAATGGGTTTATCCCATTGGTCTATTAAATTAAATAAGTATATAAATTATTATTGTTTTCTATTATTTGTTATTTTATTATATATGCGCTTAAGTATAATGTCCTGTGGACGTTCAGCCCTCAGTCAGCTAATTGAAAATTTATTTAAATATTGTTACTCCGTCATAAAATATATATATTAAAATGTCAACTGAATATATATATATATATAAACATTGTCAATAGGTAAATGATAGAAGCAATGCTTATTGTTATTTGTTTATATATAGGTTTATATATACATGTATATAGGTATATACATGTATATCTAATAATATATATATATATATATATATATATATATAAAGAAATTATTGTATACAGTGGGTTTAATGAGAATAAAAGTATATAAAAATTAATTTAAAGCATATTAATCTCACTGAAAATTGTACATACATAATTATATAATTAATATATGTATATATATATATATTTCATAGTAAAACATTTGAATTCTGAGAGTATGGATATGATTCTAATGTCCTAATGTAATACATGAGTTACGTAAATTTTAAGATACCATACAATATTTGACCTTGAATGACCTATTTGTGGCAATCTAACCAGGTAAAAAATGGTAATGGTATGGTATATACATTGTATGACCTTAAATGACCTTTTATGATCTTAATGACCATCTGCCCATGTCACAGGTGTAATAAATCCTTAACCATGAAATATAATTTTAGATATAATTCTCATTAAAGTGGTTTAAAAACCGATATATTGATAAATATAGGACTTGCGTGGCAGCAATTTTGAAATTCAAGATGGCCACCAGAATTACCTTGAATGAAATATTGAGAGTCAGGGTATGGTTCTAATGTAAAATATGACAATTATGACCTCGGATGAGTTGGTTCCTACAAAAAAATTAATGCTATGACCATAAGGAGCATGTAAAAAAAAATTTGTTTGTCCGGAACGTCCACATGCATCTGCTAAGCTGCCGGACTAATTGCTTTAACAGTAGAAATGATATTTCTACTAGTAATAAACATTGCTGTAACAGTAGAAATAATATTTTGAAAATATTATACCATACCATACCGGCCTGCTCAGTATGTTGAAAAAAATTGACACGTTCGTCTCGAACCAGGGCTATAGCTCAGCTACGGGTTGTATGCATGTATATTGGGCGGCCTGGGCCATGTCATAGTCAGAGGTGGCATCAAGATTTGCCGATGGGGGGGGGGGGGCAATAATATTGTATTTTTTTGAATAACTTCTGAACGAACGTAACAACTATACTGTATTCCCATAATCCGTTGTTAAACGTTTTTATGATAGTGGTTGTAATAGTGGTAATAACGTTTGGCCGGATAGACGTATAAGAAAATACTAGCTATCTTTAACATACTTTAACTTACCTGCCACAAAGTAGATACATATGCATCCAAATAGTTCCAATAATATAGCACGCTTAAATAACTTGAATTCACCCATTATATCAGTCTCAAAAGTAATAAAATGCTAAAGAATCATTCTTGGGAAACATTAATTACGAGAAGTGAGGCAACTTGCAATGACGTTAGAAACGTCTGTGCCATGAAACTCGAATAGAAATATGATGAATGTCAATGGCTTCTAAACAATAACGTTTACTATTTAATCTCAAAATTGATCGTGCAGTTTTAGTGCGTGACTTCCTGATAAAGTAAAGCACTTTCCCGGATATATGATCCCGGACGGAAAATTTACACACCTCAATCTTCAAGTAAGCTTTACAATACTTTTCAAACAAATACTGTATTAGGCATACCCCATGAATAATGAATGAGATTAAAAAGTACGTACATAACCACTTAAAACAATGAAATACAATGTATGACCTCTTCCTTTTCTTTCTTTTTTGTCTGCACGCAATCTAAATTACTGAACCTATAATTCTACCACACATATAGAACCAGCTCTTATATATTCAAATAACTTTAAAGATGTATAATAATAATAATAATTATAATAATAATAATAATAATAATAATAATGATGATGATGATGATGATGATGATCATAATAATAATAATAATAATAATAATAATAATAATAATAATAATAATAATAATAATAAATAACTTTATTTTCAAACGAAAAAACTTGATTCGCAAAAATTGTGTTTTCACAAGGCGGTTTTGACATAAATACAAGTATATACAAATTTTGTATAAACAAAAGAATACAAAAGTAAAGTAATAATTTACTTAATATAAGCCTATTATTAATATTACCGTTTACTATTAATATACTTTTAATACTAAGAAGTAAATTTGTTTAACAGGAAATCCGAAGAAAAAACCCGTTCTCATTCCCTTAGCATATTGTCTGTCAACCAATCATATCATCTGACACAAGCCTCGATAACCAATTTAGTCTCATTAAACTTTGCTGGATTAGAACTGATATGTAGTTTTCGCCGCACGACGTTAACCTTAACATTAGTATCCAACATGCAACGTGATAGCTCCACCCTTTTATAAACAAATCGAAATACACATGCGCATAAGTTGCGTAAATCCGTAACTAACGTACGTTCGACCACGTAAAATCCTGAAATTAATGTACCCCGAATGACGTCATCCCTTAACGTTAATGGACCTCCTCTCTATATAGGAGTTCTTCACCGCTAATCCCCGCTCCTTGATATTGTTACCAGCTTAGATAACACAAAACGACAGCTTAAAAACATACTGGTACGCAAACACGTGCGATTTGTGGGACCTGTGCAGTTGTACGCACGTATTCCTGACATTTTTATGACTGATTGTTAAGTTTGATTGACACTCCGGAAAAGTCTATTAAATTGATAAATATGGATTTCCATGTGTATACTAAACCAGCAAAAATGAATTGTTTCAGCAAGTGCCTTGATCCTTTTTGGCGAAAAATATATAATGTCTGGAGATTTTTGTATGATCGGAAATGCAAAAAAAGGAGGGAAGAAGGATGGGAAAGAGAATGTTTATCCAGTACCCGACCGAGTTACATTTTCTCGCAATTCATATTGGCGGATCTGGGGGAGGGGGGGTCATTGGTCCTGACCCCTCCCTTGGGCAACAAAAAATGGCAAAAACAAAAGAATTCTAGACCTACCTTTTCAGGACCCTTGAGCTGATTTTTTTTTTTTTTTTTTTTTTGCTATTAGAAAATGCGAATTTTGAAGAACATAAAATTCATTAAAACACACTTCAAATGTCGGGAAAGCTCATTTCCCGCCACCTAGGAATCAAAATTTTCCCTGGGAAGAACCACAGGACCTCCCCCCACCCTTCTTTTTGGGATTTATCGATTCATGGAAAAACTACGTATGCAACTTACTCAATCTTTTTTTATGTATGTATA